AAGGTCTATCTATATAGGAATAAATTATTTGAATAGTGATCAATGGGAGTTTCACCATATTTCTTCCAAACATCAATCATAACTCTACAGAGACATAACTATAGGCCTTTTCAACTAGACCAGCTTAGTCCTTCTGTAATGCCCCAGGAAAAGAAAAAAAAATGTAAAAATAATTTTTTAAAACAGGTTCTAAGTTAATCAAAGTTACATTGACTTTTTTTTAGCTCCTAGATCTTAGTGTGGATATAGATCTAATGACGTACTTAACTGGCCTCTGTGGTTAAGAAATTGGATAAGTTCCTCAAATAATTAATGCAGCTTAACTAGGCCAGATGTGTAAATATTCATACTACTTTGTAGGAAAATATGTTTATCTCCATTCATAGAAACTCAATCAAAAAACGAAGTAGAACCTGATAGACTTGGCCATATGAAATCCCAGGTCCCCCCTCCCAAATGTTCATAAACACAGGAGACAGCAAGATCATTTAGCAAATTATAGCAGTAATACATCCGTGAAATCATAAAGTCAGGACCACCTAAACTAAGAGAGTCAGAGGAAATAAATAGAAAAGGAGGGATTTCGGAATTACTTAAAGGTTAGAAATGATACAACTTGGTGCCTGATTTGTTACAGGTTAAGGGAGAGAATCTAATCATATCATCATTGTTATATTCATGATATATATGAACTATAAACAGACAATTAGCAATGTCCAAACCATACCCACTGTACTGAATGGGGGACAATGAGCAGCCCTCTTCCTCTCTGCATTCTGCACCAGTAATGCATGAGGAGATGTGGTTGAAGAGCCCCTTCCTTTAGGCTCCCTAATCCATCACATACACCTTTTTTTTGTTGTTGTTTCCCCATTGGATTTAACAGACAATCATGGGTCAAACAGAAGTATGTTTCTTCCTCTCGGGAGGTAAGAAGAGTGGGTCAGGTGAATTCTGCTTCCACTTTTATGAAGCCACAGACACATTAGCTATCTTTGCTTTTGTATGTAGTCCGGGACCAGTCAGGTAATGTGGGGAGGGTAGAATATTTTCATGTTTTCCTTTGTATTTCTTCTTCTGCCTATACACAAGAGGAAAACTCTTCTACTCCCATTTTTAATATTCTCAGCATATTTGCTAGCTCCTGTACCAGAAAAGAAACATAGTAATATTATAGGTAATAATAAAAGGGCATGAATTTGGCATATATTTACTGGTGAACAGGGTAACTATGACCCAAGACGGTCAAGTCTAAACTCCATGTCCTTTCTCCCACTATACAACATGAATGGGAAGGTAAAAAGATGTTGAACCTTCTGGGAAGGCTGGCCATTCCTTCTCTTCATTTCCTGTGTCCATGTGACAAGTACACAGATCTTGGCCCATAGGGTTGGGTTGTACATCTTGGCCCACATGCTTGTTGAGTAGTAAACTCAAGGGATCTCTAGATACTCAGGCATGTCTCTACTTCTATGCAGACATGCTTTCACATGCTTATCCCAAGGTCTGAGATAACCCACATTGGCCTTAAAACTAACTCACGAACCCTATGCTTGCTGCAGAAGTCAAGGGTGAGGGGTCAGCTGAGAGGTGTTGAATATCTGTCCTACAATTGAAAAAGTGGCATGGGAGTTTTCCTTTAGCTGTTATTGTTTGGATTGTGTCTTAATTTAGACTACTAGAATTCTGCTAACTTTGGATATATGACAAAAGTTCCAAAGGGGTGGCTGGCTCAGTAGTGCAGTGGTTAAGTGCACACGTTCTGCTTCGGTGGCCTGGGGTTCACCGGTTCAGATCCTGGGTGCAGACATGGCACTTCTTGACAAGCCATGCTGTGGCAGGCATCCCACATATAAAGTAGAGGAAGATGGGCATGGATGTTGTTAGCTCAGGGCCAGTCTTCCTCAGCAAAAAGAGGAGGATTGGCAGCAGATGTTAGCTCAGGGCTAATCTTCCTCAAAAAAAAAAAAAAAAGTTCCAAAGTGGTCAACTTAATTGATTATTCACAGCACAAAGAAAAGCTTGTCTCTTAATAACATAAAGGAACAAACAACTCTATTCCACTAAATCTATTTTTACTCATCTTTTTAAATCTCTGGACAGGGTCAATTTTCATCACTATTCTACTGTCAGAACAACAGAAATATTCCTTTACACTACCTATTTTCTTGCAGCATCAGAACACTAACTTCCCTTGTAGATACTTACCTGGAGCCAGGGTCACATGCTGGGAAATGGTACAGCACGAGGTAAGAGAGAGAGCCCTAGGACTAGACCAAGGTTAGAGTCGTAGCTTAGTTCAACTCTGACCTCAGATGAGTCACTAAATCTATACGAATTCCACTATATTCTTCTCTAGTATGGAAATAGTAATAACAGCTAGTTGCACTAATTGTCCCCACATCCTTTATCAGGACAAAAGTCACAATCACCTACACAGTCTTCCAAATTGGATCTCAACCTTTCTTGATTTTTTTTTTCTTTCTCACCCATCCCATTCAGTAGACAGGTTATTAAATCTTGTAAATTATAGGGAAAAGTCTAATAATGGCTAAAGAGTAAAGTAACTAGGAATTAAATAACTTTTGAATCCAGCTAAATGGAAAATGTAAAACTTTCTTTAAAATATACTAACAGATTGAAAACATTCATGGCAAACAGATTTGAATAAAGTAAAAGAAACAGCAATACAGTAGAGAGAACTTGAATGAGTAAATTAGTTCCATTCCTCTGGATAGTTGTAAGAACATGTGAAATCCTAACTCGATATTTTTCATTAGAATAAATAGCAATTTGATAGAAAATCCAAAAAAGAAAAAAATTGTAATAAAAAGTTAAGTTATATCAAATATCTATAATGGAAAGAATGGAGTTTAGATTTAATAGAAACTTCACATTAGGAAATACAAAAAAAGTTAACTGATAGAATTTTTAAATTATTTCTGAACAATAAATACATAATTATATTAGTGCTACCACTAAAAGAAAAAGTGGATAGGGAAAACTTAGTAATCAATATGATAAAGTTACAATATTTATCATATAAAAAGAAATAAACATTGATAAGAAAATACAACATTGAGTAATTTCAACCTAGCATCCCTCAGAAAAATAGGGATTTGTCCTTGTAATTTCATACAGTTCAAACACTTGATTTTTACAGAAATTTTCTCAAATCTGTTATTTTTTAGGACCAAGTAACATTATTGAACAGTGGCCACTACATCCTCAAACATCAATAATTGTAACCCATTTTAATAGAGAAATACTGAGGGAGGGTGCAAATTTCCACTTTTCCAAGGATTTAAAATAAAGGATGCACAGATTTCTGCTTGAATGAACTTTACACTCTTGATTCTGCCCTAAAGATGAGAGAAGGGACAGAATGGATGAATCCTTGGGTCCTTTTCAAGCTCAGAACCTAGGAAATTTTTTCTTTGAGTAGAGAATGATTTTGAATTAGAGAAGATTCACAAAATTCCACCAATGATTGCAAAAAAATGCAAAATGTCCCATGGTATCTCATTGTCTGTGGAGATAATAGAGTGAGCTGTGCCCAAGGAGAACCCTAGGGAATGTTCTGTTTACACAATCTCTCAGGGCTTCGTCTTTCAAGAGTCCTCTCAGAAAAAGATTCTGTTCAGTGCTGGTGCTCAAAAAATAAGTATTTACCTCATTCAAGAATACAGTCCGAGTTTGGAATGGAATGCACTGAAATGTCCAGTTCCTGCCCAGCTGTTAGGAGAGAGGGCTGAGAATCGCTGGAAATCCAATACCCAACTCTGGATCTGCAGCTTGGATCTCTGGATCTCACTCTGCTATACTCACTGTGAAGTCCCCTCACTTGTACTTCCCCATCTTTAGAACAAATTCATCTCAGGCTTCCAGGTAAGAAGGAGGAAGATGCTGAAGAGACCAAGTCTCTCCGGAACCAGAAATCATGATTCTGTCCTGGGAGAAGCAACCTCCTTATTTTTACACCCCATAGTCTATTTGGGAGAGGAAATTTTTCTTTCTCTCTCTTCTCTAGATTCCTCAGTCTTAGAAATATTGTTACTGGGCTTATCCTGACAGGATCAGCTTGTGTGCCGAGAAGCCCAAGAAACCCAAAGATCTATCATATCTCAAACTAGCTACACCCTTTCAAATACCAGAATCTTCCTGTACTCGGACTTTTCATCCCTCTTACAACAGGTGTTCTCTTCCTCTTTCCCTCACCCCATTCTCTCTCTTGGTGATACCCACCGGGCTCACAGGGAATACCTAGGATCCAAGACAAAGCTTCCTGCAATTTACCGTACACCCATTGTCTGGGAGGTGGGAAGGAGCCAGAGCTCAGTGAATGCTAATGTTGGGTGTGTGGGCACTCCCTGTCCCATTACCCTAGTATTCAGGTTGGTACCACATTGCATACACTCTCTCTGGAGCTAAGAATGAGAAAGAAAACAGGATTGCATATTGAAGGTTTGTTCTATTTCCACTGGAAGAATGACCACCACTGATGTCCTCTTGCCTGCACCAGTAGTCCAGGTGATCATACCTTATGTTCCTCCTTCTGATTAATCACAGGATTCTTTACTCCAAGGATACATGAAGCTGGACCTGCATCAGCTGTGCCTTCCAAATTTTACACTATGCTTTAGATAAGATAATTAGTGCTTGGTAGTATTTGAGTGTGTATGTGTGCCAGTGCCTGTGTGCATGAATGGAGACTGCTTATTCCTGGATGCATCCAGTTACTCTTTCATTAATTCCATCAGTCCGTGAACATTTCTTGAAAATTTACTATACACTGAGCAATGCAGACATATGGAGTAAGACAGGGTTCCTACCCTGAAATGTAGAACCATGTCAGGGAGACAGCTTGTAAACAAATAATCATGAAAAAATTAATAAGAATATTAAAAAGCTTATTATTATACACATGTCAAAACTCATCAAATTGTACACATGAAATATACACAGTTCATTACATGTAAGTTTACCATGATAAAGCAGAGAAAAAATTGCACTTAAAAATTATTGGAAAATTAGATCAGTAATAGATTATTTTATTGGTGTCCTTAAGAACATTTTACCTATATCAGTATTCTTTCTGAAGATTTTATAAAGACCATTAATAAGGAACACAGTTTACATTGTAACCCAGTACATGCAATATACACACACACATACGTGTAAAACAAATAAAATGGAACCAAGTGTTTTCTGACTATACTTATTACAAGAAATGGTATTTTGTTTTATATTTAAGTTTTAATAAACACAGGTGGCAACTGTCACCCATTGGTCTTGAAATCAAGTCATACTTGGCAGTTCATAAGCCAGTGGTCCAACTAAAACTGATCTGACCACACTTTTCCTATACTGCCAGCTAGATCTAGGGTCTTATATGTCAAAACAAATCCTTGTATGCTTGCAGTCTTTGACTTCCAGCTATCTCATGATGGTCCTTCCAGGGGCCTGACTTTTGGCTCTGACATCTCTGTTCTAATCAGCAGTTCTAGGACTAGCAATTCAATCCTTCCCAGGGATATCAGACTCTAGGCCTGAGTCTCAGCTATTTGCCCGGGACCCTGCTCGCTTCTCTAACTCTTTTAAATCTCTTTCCCCATTAGCTTGGATTCAGCCATGTTATTCTCTTCTTGTTCCTGATGTACAGCAATGCAGAGACTTTGAATAGTGTTTCATGCCTGGTTTCAAAGCATTGGACCATTGCCTGTTTTTCTACTGAAATACTTCCAACTGATTGGATATTCTGATATGAACAGTGGCATGAATGAGTCAAACACTGTTGTGCCAGATAAGACATTGCAGCTATGCAGACAGCTATTGTGGCTGCATTTGGTCTCCCTGAAGGGCCTTCCGTACTTCCAATGTGTGTGGTGCTGCCTAAATCTGGCCTAGTCTCAACTGTCTTGTTTCTGTGATGATAAGGTCCCATCATGACCTACTCTTGAGCACTGCCACGGAGTCTTGATTCTCTGATCCAGTGAAGAATTTAGGAAAGGACCAGGACTTGGATTATAACATGATCTAAAATGGTCTCTTAAAATTCCCTTCCTACTTAGAAGGATGATAAAGGATCCCTTGAAAACATAAAGTAAAAGTTAATTATTTTTTCTGCTCCTTGATGAAATGAAAGTGAAAGTCTGCTGACTGAAAAGTAAACTAGAAAAAAGAAAATCCTAGGCTTTCTACTAAAGGCAGAACTCTGTATTTTTTAAAATCCATATAACATGTAAGCATCCTTTTCAGATAGCTTCAGTAGGAAGGTTGGGATGGAAATTTAGAAAATCAAGTGTCTTAAATGTTTACGAGAATTGTTTTAAATTAAATACATTTGTTCTTCCAATGAGATCTTCACCTTCAGGATGTGGTGCTTCATCATAGTTAATCATAGTCAACTTTTGATTGCTCTATTTATGCTGATATGTGGACAGGAATAAACATTAATGGGCACAGAAAACCAAACCTGTTTTACTGAATTCATCTTGCTGGGGCTTTCCTCAGATCAGCAGACCCAGATCCTGCTATTTGTGGTATTTCTCACCTTCTACCTACTGACTCTGTTTGGGAATCTGCTCATCATAGTGCTAATTCATGTTGACTCTCGACTTCATACACCAATGTACTTTTTCCTTAAAAACTTGTCATTTACTGATCTCTGTTTCTCTACAACGATCATCCCCCAGATGCTATTCCATTTGCTAGTAACAAGAAAGACCATTTCTTTTGCCAGGTGCTCCATTCAGATGATTGTGTTCCTAGTAGCTGGGTGTACAGAGAGTTCCCTCCTAGCAGTGATGTCCTATGACCGCTATGTGGCTGTCTGCAAGCCCCTTCACTACTCCACCTTCATGACCCACAGGATTTGTGTCCACCTGGCCATAGGATCTTGGGCCAGTGGAGCATTTGTGTCTCTAGTAGACACGACATTTACTTTATGTCTTTCATACCACAGACAGAATGTAATTAATCATTATTTTTGTGAACCTCCTGCACTCCTGAAGTTGGCTTCAGAAGAAACCTACAAAGCTGAGATGGCCATCTCTTCAATGGGTGTGCTAATTCTCCTTGGTCCTCTCTCCTTCATCCTTTTCTCCTACTGGAACATTATCTCCACTGTGGTTCGGATACAGTCAGGTAAGAGGAGGCTCAAGATCTTTTCTACCTGTGGTTCTCATCTCATTGTTGTTGTCTTCTTCTATGGCTCAACAATATTTACCTACATGCGTCCAAATTCCAAGAAAATGAATGAGAGGGATAAGGTGGTCTCTGTATTCTACTCAGTCATAACGTCCATGATGAACCCATTCATTTACAGCCTGAGGAACAAGGATGTGAAGGAGGCATTTAGGAAAGTATTTGGAAGGTAGAGCCTCTCAGTGGCAATGAGATTTATGTTGATATGCAGTCGTGGGGATGAAAAATTCCAAAGTGGTTCAACATCTTTAACAGCTTTATCTCTGAACTATTTCTAGCCCAATATATCAGTAAGAGTCATACAGTACCCTTGTACATCTAGGATGTTTTCAAATTTGTCTACTGTGTCTTGTTCAATCTTATTCTCTGTGGTTGCAGCTTGCTTGCCTCATAACAGATTTTTTGCTATTATATTATATATTATAAATTATATTTATATATTATATCATATAAATATTTTACAATATTGAACACAATCTTCATTTATACTGCATTATTGGTTCACTAGTTCATTTTCACCCAGAGATATTGCCTTTTGGTTCTGAACTCCACAGTTGCTTGTCAGCCTTATCCCATGCCAACATCATCTATAGCCATCCACAGATCTTGGAATTCTACCAGATGTCAGTATACTAGAATCGAGAATTTCCTGTAAGAAAATATCAACGATTTTTTTTTTTTTTACCTTGAAGCTCTGATAAGGAATCTTGTTTTTAGTTTTGTTTTTTGGTTTTGTTTTGTGTTTTTGTTGTGAAGTCCCAAAATAGGGTTATAGCCAATTCAACCATATATGGGAGAGCTATTGGCATAGACAATAATGTGTAGGATCTCATACTCCAGTAAACATCTTTTAAATGTCACACACTGCTATCCTCTAAGGACGATTCCTACCTTGAGTGAACTGGAACTGAAAAGCAACCTGCCTACATCAGAACTGTCAGGTTGGAAACCCCTGTGACACCAATACACTACAACTGACCCCTCCTCAGACATGCTTTCCCCTCTTTGAAGGTTTGATTGTGCCAGTACCCATTAAGTTCTCCTTTTTGGGAAGAGGAAGAGAATGGCTGACACATGAAAAGCAACCCCAGAAGATGGAGATTGTTCTGTGGGATGAAATGGCCCCTTTAGTCTTTCCTAATTACTACTCTAACCCTATTTTACAGCAGAAGCACCTCTGGTGACCTACCTGTAGCTTCTCACCAATGTTCAGCATGAACACTGCTCCTCCCTTGGAAGAAAATCCACTGTTGTCCCCTCCCCAACCCTCAACTAAAGGTCTAACTCCAGGTATTAAATGGAATTGACCCAATGCTTTATTTGTATGTAGGGACACTACTAATTCCCATCCCTGGTGGCAGGGCCTGTGAGCCATGAAAGCGTAGCTGGGCACCATCACTGTCCTGCCCATTTTCCCCCATGGTTCTCCATTTCTCCTGGCAGAAGTCCCATGACACAAACATATTCCATTTCTTTGTACTTCATTTACCAGACTTACATATATCCTCTGACTCATCCCAGCCCATCTACTATGGAGCCATTTGCAGGGATTTTGTCATATAAAGATAGTGCTGCTAACCATTCCAAACCCTCCTTTCACAAAGTGAGAAGAGTTACGTCAGCATGCTTAGTGGGAGCAAGTTCAACTTGGAATTCTGCCCTCACTTCATGACCTTCTCTTAAGGCATCTACAAACTAAGTGATTATGGGTGAAGGATGACATGAGCCAGAAAGTGAGCCCTGATGAAAGCCAAGTTTGCCACATTGACTTCTGGCTGCTCCAGCTTCAGCATCCATGGCCTGTTCTGAGTATCCAAAGCTGTCCATTTTATGTGATGATGTCCTTGTTGAACTGCATGCATTGTGTGTAGAATGATCTTGTATGGAAGAATAAACGTGTAGCAATACTAGATCACTATATACACGTGATGTGTATTGTTTTCAGATTATGTGGACTAGCATCCGCCTGTACAAGGAACCAAAAAGTAGTCCTGCAATACAGATTCTTTGAGAAGCTATGTTATAAATAACAACTGCTACTTCAGACATGCTGCTACCTCACGACCATTCAAAAGCTCACCTGACCACTTCCTCTTTGCTTGCTATTTAGTATAAAAGAATTCATATCAGATGATTGGAATGATAATTGAAAAAGTGGACAGATCACATTGATTTGCATAAAAATATATAACTAACCTCAATAGGAAACTGGTAGAGTCAACAGAGTAAGAAAATATAGATAGTGACATATATTTTTAAGTGAAAACACCAGCCTCTGATTGGATGCCAGATTATCAATGACTGTATAGCAGTGGCTAGATGAGTACCAGCATGTGACAAATTAAGAAACTCCTGAAGTCACCACATTCTGGGAACTACTCATTTTTTTAGAGCAAACAGTTTTTCAGTTTTTAAAGGAAATTAGTTTTCCTTCATTTGTGCCACTGGTTGTATAATTGTTGCTTTAGTATGAAATCAACCCATATGACATTGATTTCAATAGCACAGTTTATTTAAGTTCATTTATTCAATGAATATCTAATTCATTTATTAAGTAAATATTTTTTGAGGATTTTTCTGGGTGCTAAATATATAGCAATGAAGGAAGTTCAAAATTCCCATCCCCATGGAACTTACATTTTAGAAGAAGGTGATAAAAATAAATAAACAGATAAGTAAAACACAGACGTCTGATGGCAATAAGCTCAATAAGAATATAAAAGCAAGAAAGTGTGGGCTGCAATTGTAAGCAGGTGGTCAGAAAAGGCCTTTCTGAGAAGGTAGTATTAAAGAATGTTACATCTTCAGGGCTGGCCCCATGGCTGAGTGGTTAAGTTCGCGCTCTCCGCTGCAGGCGGCCCAGTGTTTCGTTGGTTCGAATCCTGGGCGCGGACATGGCACTGCTCATCAGACCACGCTGAGGCAGCGTCCCACATGCCACAACTAGAAGGACCCACAACGAAGAATACACAACTATGTACCGGGGGGCTTTGGGGCGAAAAAGGGGAAAAAAATAAAATCTTAAAAAAAAAAAAAAAAGAATGTTACATCTTAGAGAAATTATCATTTGTGCTGTGATCAGAAGGCTGAGAAGAAAGAACCAACCGAAGAGAGATTTGAGGGATGAGGGTTCAGGCAGAGAGAACAGAGAGTGTAAATAGCTTGGATGGGAATACGTATTTTGCGATCAGGAGAGAGAAAAGTCAGAGCGACCGGAGGATGTTGAGTGATGGGGAGAGTGGCAATGAACGAGACCACGGAACACACAGAGGTCTGATCAGTAGGGCCTTTGTATTATTAGTTTCCCAGGGATGCCGTAACAAATTATCACAAGCTTGGTGGCTTAAGGCAACAGAAATTTATTCTCTTACAGTTCTGGAGGCCAGACGTCTGACTTCAAGGTATCTGCAGACTCTGCTCCCTCAGAAGAATCTAGGGGAGGTGCCTTCCTAGCCTCTTACAGCTTTTGGTGTTCTGGGTGTTTCTTGGCTTTTGGCAGCATCATTCCAATCTCTGCCTCTGTCTTCACAAGGCCTTCTTCCCTCTGCCTCTGTGTCTTCCTCTCTTCTTAAAAGGACATCTGTCATTGGATTAAGGGCCCATCCTAATCCAGGATGATCTGGTCTTGAGGTTTCCCCAATTACATCTGCAAAGACTTTTATTCCAAATAAGGTCATGTTCTGAGGCTCCAAGTGGATATATCTTTTTTACTGACAAAATTCCACCCATTACAGCCTTGGAATTCCTGAAAAGGCAATTGATCTTATTTTACACTCAATAGAAAGCCATCCTTACATTATGCTTTTAAAATGTCACTTTGAGTGTTTTAGGGAGAATGGATTATAAGTGGACAACCATGGAAACAAGAACATCAGTCAATAAGATTGAGCTCTATCACAGTAGCCCAGGGGAGAGATGATGGTCTTGACTAGTATTGTAGCAATGGAGAGGAAGTGGAGATGGTAACACAAGTGGGTAGATAAGATGTACAAGATGAAAAAAGAGAGGAATAAAGTATCCCTGCTAAGTCTTAGACCTGAGCAATGCTGTGGATAATGGGGAAACTCAAAAAGGAAGGAGTTCAATGGAGAAATCAAGAGCTGTCTTTTGGATTTGTTTTTATGGCCCTGTGTTATAAGCTGACTTTGTTCTCACACCACTTTTCTGTATTTGAATAGCAATGTAGAAGAGGAAGAAATATTGCTCTACCCTTCTGGGTTCTTCTGACTGGTCTAAAAATTGAATTAACATGAGACAGAATAACAGGAGAAAATCAAACAAATTTAATAACATGTATACATAGGAGAAACTCAGGAAAGTTGAGCAACTTTCCAAAATGCCTGAACCCACCACCTTAAATGCCATCTTCGCTAAAGACAAAGGAGGATATTGGTGATAGTGGCTTCAGACTTCAAAGGGGAGGAAGGTAATTCACACAGAAATGGAAATGGAAAGGCAAATGTTTGGTAAACAAATGATTGCCATGCCTTACAAAGACAATGAGACATGGAGAGGACTGTGATCAAATGGGCCTTCCTAGGTTCCTCCCTGTCTACCATGCCTAGTTCATATTATAGTATAGTTATCCATGGTGATAGTGCCTTCCTGAAACATGACTTCTATCTTAAATTCTTTTAGGCAGTTCAGGGGAGCATCAAAGCTTCTTCCTGAGTCTTTTGTTCTTAAAAATGATCAAGCCAAAGAGACATACTCTAGGGTAGCAAATTCTGCTCCCCTACAGCTACAATAAAGCCTTTCATTTAAACAATCATGATATCTTAAACTGAGTCATGTACCTGTAGTTTAGGGTTGTTTTTTGTTTTCTCCCATTAGCAGAAGACAATTAAAGCATTTTGGGTACAGTTACAGACAAGGGTTTTGAAATCGCCTGTCATGTCTTAGTTTGGGGACCTCATTCTGATGATGCAGAATACACTTATATCAGTTGCTTTTTATGTAACCATATTATTAAAACCTCTTTTTTAAAAATTTTTACAGAGAAATTGGAGACCCCAGAGGTCCTTAGACTGCTTTGAGAAGCAGTAGTATAGAACCTGACATCAGATGAGATTCAGGTATTTCAGTTTGTGATTATAATCAAAAAATGCCCGAGGGTATCTCTCTCCTTGTAGAAAGGTTTAAAAAAGTTAACAACACTGATTTCTCCAGGGAATGCTCTGTTTCCAACAGCCCTTAGGACCTCAGGTTTAAAGACTTTCTTCCAGAAAAATCCTCCAAACTGGTTCCTTGGTGAGTTGGGAATTTTAACAAAATGGTGCTCCTTGACTTGGGAAAGAATAAGACTCATAGTCCAGATGATGTCCCAACCTTCAGACGTTTTGGTAAACTGCAGAGGAGGTTGCCTATTAGGAAATGGATTAGCAGATTGCA